GATCACTGAACATTCCATGCTACTCATGCAAGATCAAATTAATGCTCTTAAATACCAAAACCAGCAACAATATTTCGATAGGTTAACTTTTGTTCTCTGTTAACAATTTCTATTAAACGCACACAATTATTTCCAACAAAACGACAACATTTTTCCCGTTAAGGGGATATAACCAGAATAGGTTGAATTTTCCCCCCTAAAATAAATTGCGTTGTTTCCCCTGGCTGTCGTGCTAGACCCAAATATAAATAGTGTGCATAGTCGTGTGCAGCATCGATCCGTCTCTTGGTCTATAGACGCCCGTATCACTTATTTTTAAATCTGTTCGCGCCATGCTACACACCGTGTAGCGAGATAGCAGTGACTGCGGTAAAAATCATGTGACGAAAAACTAACCAGAATTAACGTGTAGCAGTCAACTGCTCAGCTGTTGTAACCAATTAACGAACAGCACACGCAAACTATTAGCCCTACATATCCAAATCTTTAAATATTTTTACTTATTACATAAAAAGATGTTCATATTTACTTTAAAAATGTGTTCATCATGAAGTAGCCCTATGATAAATCCCTACCAAGCCCATATAATTTAAGTGACCACACGTTTGACACCCCCCCCTCCTCTCTCTACCTCCACACGTGTCTAGAGAACGACAGATACTGACTGTGCTATTACAAAGAAATAAAACTAGTATGTGTTAAACTGTGAACTCTTGTAAATAAGAAAACAAATCTGTCAGGATTGATATAAGCCATATTAAGCAATATATATAAGACCTAGTATTATTTTTTTGTTGACCTCGGCATAAGCCCAGAAAATAGATTAAAAAATTAGGCTTCCTTGTTTTATATTAATAACGCTTTATCATACATTTTGGGATGAAATAAAGCACAACATTTGCATTTGAATGAAAACAATTTAGATCTATATGCGTTAAAAACGGTTAAATTTTTTTTTAAACCTGGAACAGTGACGTAACGTAACTGTCGTAACTTCTTGTTTGTTGACTGTGTAAAGTCAAGAGGTAAACTGTCGTTTTCATTTATTTTCATAGGTCAATTCTAAAAGTGAAGTAATGCCAACCAATACATAAATTTCGTTGCGTTGGCCGTCATTAGATCTAGTAAAAAGATACCGATCTAGAATCTAGGGCCTAATTCAGAATAGTAGTAGATAATCTAGTAGCCTACTATTACTCATTAGAGCACAGTAGTAATAGATCTCTAAATCTAGGTCGGGTCTACATAACCTGCAAGGCCAAGGCGTACAACAATGGGGTTAATTTTAAGCCAATTTTAGTAAACTTTATTAATACTCACATCTACAATCTAGGTATAAACTACCTCTGTTTATAGCAGTCTAGATAGATCTATAAATTCTAATTATTATGAGGAAACCATTTTAACAGGCAAAACTGGTTTATTTCAATTGTTGACAAACAGGAATTTCTGACCAAATTTGTTTCAACACTTTGACAAACAGGAATTTCTGACCAAATGAAATTTTTTTTTTTTTTTCAACACTGTATAGAAAAAAGTGTAAGTCTACAGAGAATGCTAGGGGCATATATGAAATAATGCGATTCTATAAATTAAAATAGACTATAGTTTTTTAAAGGCTGAATTTCCCCTTAATGACAATAAAACCCTCGAACTTCCACTTGCTTTTAAACAACTATTCAACTATTATTTTAACTCAAACTAATCCCTTGGCAGGGAATATGCAATGGATTACTGTTCTTAGATCACTGATAAGTAAATGATTCAAGTTAATTTTGTTATGTCATTTATGACCCTCAAGGTCCAGTAGTATGGGAAGTGAACAGTCAAATTAGTCCCACTGCTCTGCATTGCATTTAGTCATTCTGTGTCCAGCTACTTAGGAAACAGCCAGTATAGTGTATACACAAATGATTTTATAAATATCTTAGAGCAGAGATTGTATATCAAGGGGGCAGATAACTCTAGTATAGAACTAATGATTTGGTAAGCTAGTATCAGGTATTAATAAAGAAATAGAAAACTAATCTAGACATTTTGGGGGTTTAGATTTAAGAATTATATTAATGGAAAATTAATATGGTGCTGAATGCTTTCAAAATGTGCTATTTTTATTATACTTTTAGTATTCCTGGTTATTGAAAAGCAGAAAATAATTCATGTTTTCAATACACTCGTACCCAAGTGTTTAAATAATATTATGAGTAACCAAATCTATTACTACTGAGTCAAAAGAAACTTTTTTTTCGACTATCATAATTTTAATGCACTTAACATAAGTGCGTTATTTTAAGGTTTCAATGTTTTATTATGTAAAAAAGTAAACCTGACGGTCTACGGGGCAAGTGAAGTAGAGTTCACTTGTTTCTGTGACCTGGGCATATGAAGGAATAGTGTGGTCAGCCCTATGCCCATCTGCCTTTATTTACACTAACATGAGTTAGGTACCTATCAGAGCTGGTTGGACTTAGAGACACTCTACTGCCTTGAACCGCGATTTGAACTCGAGACTTACAGGTTAGCTCTATACAGCTAGGCCTATCCATCTTATGTACTCATCTAAAAACATTTTAATTGACTGCTCGGCAGTAACAAAATTGATCAGTGTGCGGCCAGTGAACATAAAAGACAAGGGCCCTTTACCCTAAAGACATATGCAGGATTTTAAAGTAGGGTTAGGGGTGGCAAGTCCAGATAAGGCACAATATATATATATAATGCTAGAAAAAAAATTAGTATTTATTTTGAAATCTAATATATAAAGCTCAATACTGTATGTAACATGTAATAAGTTTGTCGTTGACATACTTCTATTAATTTAAGTGTTAGACTATTATCGTGCTCATAGTCTAAATTTATGAGTTAAAAAATTACTATTGAAAGTGTTGTGAAATAATTTTCATTTTTCAAACTGATAGTAATAATTGTCGGCATGTTCATTAAACACAATTTTTTAAAAATAACAAAAATTCTAATTATGTCTGAAAATTATTTATATTTAGTCCTTTAGCACTTACTTCCCTTTGATAAATTAGGGAAACAATTACTTCCCTTTATAAAACATTTACTTTTTATTACTTTGTTTTGGTGTTGGGGAAAAAAATAATTACATAATTAGCGGGGATTGATCAAGTGCAAATGTTGTAGGTATTTTACGAATAAGCTTGGAGTATATAATTGTTCATTTGGTTTGGTTTGGCACCTACGTTCGTTTAAGTGAGTGCAAAAGACTATGAATAAGTGAATAAGTTGGGGTACTAAAGTCGATTATTAAGCTGAAACAGGCGATTCTGCCCCGGGCTAGACTGTGAGCACTTTGCGTTTATGTTCGCATTTAGTGTTTTCTTTGTGTTTAGGTTGGGTTTGCGTTAGTGGTTGCGTTTTGATTTGGTTCGTTTTTGTTCTTTCTTTTTTCATTTTCGTTTGTGTTTTTTTCTTTGGGTTTGTATTTGTGTTTGTGGTTGGTTTTGCATTTGGATTTGGTTTGTTTTCGTTTGCTTTTTCGTTTGTGTTTTTTTTCTTTGGGTTTGTGTTTGTGGTTGGTTTTGCGTTTGTATTTGGTTTGTTTTCGTTTGCTTTTTCGTTTTTTTTTTTCTTTGTGTTCGTATTGGTGTTTGTGGTTGTGGTTGGGTTTGTTGTTAGGTTTTTGTTTTCGTTTGCTTTTTTGTTTGTTTTTTCTTTGTGTTTGTATTGGTGTTTGTGATTGTGGTTGGGTTTGTTGTTAGGTTTTTGTTTTCGTTTGTATTTGTAATTGTGTTAGCGTTATGTTTGCGTTTTGTTGTTTTGGTTGGTTGTGGTTTGGGTGGGCAATGCCGGGTTTATGATGATTACTAAACACACAGGTAATGGTCTTTAACAGAAAGGTTTTTCACAGAAGCCAGAGCAGGGCCTGGCCAGGACGGCTAGTACAGAATATAACAGAACTCAAAATTACACATCGCACACAACAAACACAAAACAAAAAAGCGCAAAACACAATATTCATGACCAAAAAAAACACAACCGATTTGGTAATTCTTGTAAAATAAATGCTATTCTGCTTACAACATATTAAAACGATTGACGAATTGTGATCAAAAGTAGGGCAAACCATTGCACTGATTAATACAGTTCTGTACATGTATTTAATTACATCTTTGGAGTTTTCTTTACAATATCATTCCCTTCATTTTAACATATTGTATTATATTATAATTCGAGCCGACCCGCTGGGTATCATACGCCGCTATTTAGTTGTTTTATTTTCTACTTTTCAGTAATTCATAATTTGTGAATTCAACAGTACCAATGCTGCCACTGAAAATATTTGCTTTAAAACACTAACCCCCCCACTAACATTTAGCGTGACCACAGATCACCAGACAATGTGGGGGTGGGGTGGGGTGGTAGTGATAGTGATAGAGAGAAAGAGAGGGGACTGCAAGGAGGCGCTTGCAGCTTGTTTTCTAACGGCTCCCAGAAGAGAATTATATATATAGATAGATAGTTAAAGAAGATGGCCCGACCAAGCAATGATGCACCGGATGATGACAATGAAAACAATGACAATCCGCCTTCATTAGAAGCATCAGGAGTACACCCACACATCACTCCTTATTTGCTAGTGTTGTGTTTGGTGGCTCTCATTTGGTATAATGTGAGCTCAAATATGCCTATGATTAATAATTTGCTACAAAACAACCTGCACAACCAACTGACTGGAATTAGCACGGCTGCACAGACTGATCTCCCCAACATGACTGAGAACCTTCCAACTGGCACAACCTCATGGCAACATAACAAGGTCAGCCTTGAGTCAGATGATGAATTAAAATTTGACATCCATATCAATCTGGACCTCAACAAAAAGCTCCCAGTGTCTAAAGATAGGGTTGAAACCAAGAAATCAAAAATGAGGTTAAAGGTGAAAAGTGATGTATCAATCAACTTCAACAACAGAGTGGAAACCAGTGTACCCCAAGACCTAATGGAAGAACCAGGTGAAGTTTCAAACAACTTTAACAACAGTCAGGAAACCAGCAACCCACAAAAAGTATGCAGTGAACCCCAACACCTAATGGATGAACCAGGTGATGTATCAAACAACTTTAACAACAGCCAGGAAACCAGTGAACCCCAAGACCTAATGGAAGAACCAGTAAGTCAAGTGATTTGTTTAATCAATAATAACATAAATTATATTTTCTGATTTCCATTATTTAATTTGAATTTAAGTAAACAAATTCTCCTTTCTAAAATTGACTGAAAATGTTTTGAAAATTATTTTTTTATCTTTAACATTTTCTTATGTGAAAACTTGAAATTTTTGTATTTATTGAGCTTAGATCAAAATGGTTCTCTGAACATGCTTTGCATGGTAAAATAAATAAAAACCTCTATCACTTCCAGGTGAAACAGGAAACTGGTGATGAAACAGCTACTGAAGTTCACTCATCAGGTAGAATTTTCTCTTAATTTCTTATGCTTACTGTATTTTGATTTATTCCTTATAAGTATAATGATTATTCCAAAATAAACCAAACATAGAGACTTTGTTGTTTAATGGTGACACAAGCACTCCCAATGGAGAACAACAGCAAGTCAGACAGCTAATCACTGAAAAACTTTGTTTTTAACAATTCTTGTGTCTGTATAATGTTGGCATTAAATGCCTACTCTCAAAAACTAAATAATTTACCCACATTTAATGCAACAGTTGTGTGGGTAGGAATGAGAAAGGGTAAAGAGCAAATAGAATACTTTTATATAGTTTAATAGCAACAGTTAACCTAAAATCAAACTATGGGTAAGGCTATCAAGTTAGTGCTTGGATTTTGCTCCTATTTGGATACATACAGATTTTATCTTTTACAAATTTTTATTTAAAATAAGTAAAGTTATTTTAAAATTTAAACATTCCTTTTTTTTTTCATTCAACCTGTACCATGTGTACAGTATAAATATATAGACATCAACATATATACATCACTAATTCTTGATTCTTTAATTTTCATAAGGCCCAGAAATGTCAACCCCACCAAATATGCCTGTGGCACAAGTGGCAGAGAAAAAAGAGGAGCAAGAACCTGTAGATAGGAAAGAAAAAAGTGGGTTTCATTATGGTGTGATGGCAAATTAATATATGAAATTCACATGGACCTTTCCCTTACTATGGGGCTAACTGAGCTGGTTCTGGATAAAGTATTTTGATCAACTTTTCTATATATTTTATATTATATATCAACACATTTTTCATTAAAGTATGTGAAATAACCACTTACATTCAGTTTTAAAAGTAACAAAATAATAATTTTTTATGTTAACAGACCTTCCCTTTCCCCCCCCCCCCCCACCCCCAACACACACTCATGTAATTCTGAATCATCCCCTTCCCCTGGGAGTGTGATATTATAACCATTGGACAAACATAATAATTAACATACATTTTTTAATCTTTTAAGGTAGAACAAGTACTTCCAGTGGAGAGCCTCAGCAAGATTCTGTCACAACTAGTGAGACATTGTTTTGTTCTTCAAACCTGAACTTTAGATTTTATTCAGCTTGTTAATCTTTGTATATAGTACAATTATATATTCATACATCAATCCATGCATATAACTGATTACTTATGCTCAAATATGTTTTAAATCATAGGCCAAGAAATGCCACCCCCACCAAATGTGCCAATGTTACCGGAGGCAGAGAAAAGAGAAGAGCTAGAGACTGTAGATCGAAAAGAAAACAGTAGGTTTTTTGTTTTGCTGTTTAGTAAATATATCAGGTGTACAAGGTGGTAAAGTCATGGGATAAAAAAATAAACTACAATGTTGACATGATGACAGACTGGAGTCCATCATTTTAAAAAGTAAAACTGATATGGTAACAGAAGGAGAGACTTAGGTTAGAGTAAATGGTTGGCTATAAAATCAGCCATGTAGTAATTGGTTACGATGGTTAAGATGAATAAATAATTCCTTGGAATTAAAACACAAGGCCATCGTAGGGCGCATCAATAATCATTTTAAAAAAATAAGTCAACGAAAGTGTTAATCAAGATAATGTAAAATTTTATTTTAATGTGATAGTTGTCATTGGTAGGTCTAGTGTAAAAAGATGTACTGGCTGCGTTTTGTACATATTCAACTAACCATTATAACATTTTCAAAAAAATATAGAGCCCTCCAGAGAACAAGATCATCCTCCTGGTTAGATGGAAAATATTGGAAAAAAGTTACTTCAAAAGAAAGATTTCGATTTTGTTTGACTTCATATTAAAACAAGCTATCAAAAATATGAGTATGGTATCAAGGGTATTGTATTTGCTGTTTTAATTACTTTTTATAGTTCAATATTTTTACACTTGTGTGTGCTAGTTTTTAACACATAAAAAATATAATTTATTTTTTAAAATAGTAAATTACCATAATTTTTAGCGCAATTTCCATTCTGGAGAATTGCGTTTATTAACTCGTCTTTTCTGGGAATGGATGGATGGATGGATGTGTGTCCGCAGCTTTAAGTCGTATCTCCTCCTCAACTAAGCAATATCGAGGACTAGTTCCAAAGCAAATATGTTAAGCAAGTTACCAGGATGAACATAGGCCAAAAAAATTCCGGGCTTCTTTCATGGATATCCAGGAAAAGCCAAAAAACCTCGAAAAAATGCAGTTTTTGGCCCATATCTCGGCAACCAGACCACTTAGCGACTTGAAACATGTACCAATCGATTCCTGCCATAATTTAGAACAATATTGCCGAAGAAAGTTTTCAAAAATATCCTTTCGTTCGGTCACAAAATTTTTTTTTAATTAATTAAAATTTGGACCGAATTAGTAGGCATTTTATCCAACCACACCACACGCGTCATCACGTTCAATAGCTGCGCCATCACGTTCAATGGCTGCGACATCACGTTCGGTAGCTAGGCGCGCAATGGTTTTTAGTCATGTTACTCTATTGTAAATAAAACATGTAAAATACTGAAAAAAAAATTAATAAAAAACGTTTTAATAACTAACCAATGGTTTTACTAACCCTGCTCTTGATTTACGCCACGACAGAGCTATTTTTATATAACATAAGGAAATTGCGCTAAAATTGTCACTAGACTTTTTTTAATTACTTGTTTTAGTTTCTAGTTACCAAAATTAGAGATTTTGTTAGTTTTATACTTTTGTTTAAAGTAATACTATTGGTACTTAGCTTAATTGATTTTTCTTCTTTCTGATCAAACTTTTGCAGCCTTAAGACTGATTTTAAAAAAACTACTTTAAATGAACAATAGATGTATGACTTAATATTTTAAAAAAAATGTAATGAACAAATTTGTTATGCTAGTAGCATTAAGATTTTTTTTTTAAGCCATGCATTGTAATTAAAGTATTTTTGGTATAAACGCTGTTGCACAAACAATATAACACAGATACCATATGTCAAGAAAACCTGGATCATTAAAAATTGATCATACTTTTGGTAACTAAAATTTGAAAAAATTAGTTTCTGTTGGTTCCCATTTTTTTTTTTAAATTCTAACTAGACAAAAAGTCTGAATAAAGAGACAAAAGGGACTTCTTTTATTTTTAAATTATGGACTTCTCTAGTAAATGTACCTTAGATTGGTGTATTTTTTAAATTTTTTTTTTTTTTTTAAAGTTTTTAATTTTAAAAATCAATTTTGATATGCATAAAAATAGTAAAAAAATGTGTATTTCTCTTGCAATTTTACTGTTATAATGTTTGAAATTGAAGGTGCATAATCAAATTGATGTGTTTAAATATTTTTTAGAACACTTTATTTAGTCCATCAACTTACACCAAGCTCAAAATGTATGTAGATATTTTAGTTTTTGTAAAAAAAAATTGCTTTAATAAATTAGATGTGAAAAAATGTGTTGGCATCTTATTTTGTCTCAAAGTAGGGATCTCCCCATCCATTATACTTACACTTCACTAAATAAGATTAAATGTGAGTCCTTTGTCATGCTATAAAGAAGCTATATGCTATAAAGAAACTATCACTATAGGCCTACATCAGTTTACTAGTGAGTTGGCTATAGCATGTGATACATTGAATTAAAATGTTAACTATTGACTGATGATTGACAGGTGTGAACATTTCTAATTTTAGAAAAATTCATTTAAATTCAAGTCTTTAAAAATGCTATTGGGAATCTGCAGACTTCTATTAAGATAAATGTGTATGTCTGGATATAATATAATATGTCCATTTGACCTGCTTATGGGATGGAGTGGTCTAGCGGTAGAGAGCTGGACTGCTAACCCACAAGTCGAGTTCGAATCCGGGTTCAAGTCAGTAGACCATCCCTGAGTCCACACTATCTCTTCATATACCAAGGTCACAGAAACAAGTGAACTCTACTTCACTTGCCCCATAGACCGTCAGGTTTGAATGGGAAACCTTACTTATTAGACCTGCTTCTCTAATTTGTAAAGTATTTCTTTTCAGTAATACTGATGGGGATTTCCTCCAACATAACAATTTATGCACCTTATGGGTAGTTGTCTCATGACTTGAGCCTGTTTTTCTGTCAAGATTAGATGCACAGACTTTTACTTTGGCTACCCAAACCGCTCATTTCGACGTATATATATATATATATATATATATATATACGTCGAAATGAGCGGTTTCCGGTAACCGGAAACAGTACTTTATTTCCAGTTTCTTAAAAAAGCCATCACAATTTGATAATCGTATCCCCTATAAGACAGCATATACTGAGAAATTTTTGCCCCTATGTGTTTTCTCAATTGGAAAACAAGCAAATCTTTCACAAACGTGTCTGCCATTTCTCTCGTTGGATACCACTGTAAGTGCTATCCGAACACCTACCGTTACATATAGATTTACAAGGAACCTTTAGGGAAACTCAATCCTGCTTTATTACACAATACAAGTTCTGACAATACAATTACAATTCTTTTCTGGTATATATATATATATATATATATATATATATATATATATATATATATATATATATATATATATATAATTTAAAAATATTTATATTATCAGGGAAGGGGAGGTCGTGGTTGCAGAAAAGCTAAATAATTGTAAGGGTTTGTGGTCTATTGAAATGTTAATAATTGTATTACCGTAAACGACAGAGGGGAGAGCATTTGATTGTTAATCTACAACAGACAGCTACATGAAAGTTACTGATAAACGTCCGTATGTTAAAATCCAACACACATAATTTCTCACTAAATTAGCTGAACTGACATTAATGGAGGAATTACAATCAGAAATACGTTGACTAATGCTCAGAAATCCATACACTAATACACACAGAAATTCAACCATTATGCATAACCAGATGCCGCAAGTGAAATAAAAGTAGGAGTTACCTCCCCGTTGAGAAGGTTTATCTATGTGGCTTATTGTTTGGCTTGTTTATTTTATGTCTAATGGGATGTTTAATTAAATCATTAATGCGTGCGGCGGTGATGAACGTGGTTTATATTTCACAACAGAAGTTTGAGTGTGGTTGTATTGGGTCGATGTTTGCAATCAGTTTATCGACACGGTGTTTTCTGTCGGTAGGGATAAACATGGGGTTACAGCAGAGGCGTAGCGAGGGGGGGGGCCGGGGGGGAGGGTACATATGTCCCCGGGCGCCGACCTTAGGGGGCGCCAAAATGGGTTGAAAAAAATTAAAAGCTCATTTTAGCTGCAGTTTTGCGTTATAAATATCAAAATATATGGGGGGGGGGGGCATCAAATTGAAAGTGTGTCCCCAGGCGGCGGGAAGGGTCGCTACGCCTCTGGGTTGCAGGTGGGGGGGGGGGGGCGGAAATGACGAAACGCCAAGTTTTATTTCTGACGTTTTTTCTTCCGGGAAAGGGGTGCGGGACGACGACACTGGTTAAGGTGTGTATTTTCAATTAAATTATTTTTATTAATTTTCCTGGGGTGGGAGTGACGGAGTAGAAATGTGACGTGGAGTACATTCTGTATTAATTTTAAAAAAAATACACGCTGAAACCATTTTTTTTTGTTTTGTTAGAATGATGTTTAAATAAAATGGAATGATGTTTGTGCGAAGTAGAATAATGTTTGTGTAAAGTTGATTGTGTTAAGTATCACACGTTGATCATACAAACCCCCTCCCCTCGAAATTGCATTTTTTTTGTCTTTTTTTTAAAAAAAACATTTATTACTCTATCAAATATTATCTGTACTTGGTAAATATTGCATATATTTATACATTTCTATTACAGTTCTTAAAAACTAGGCATGCTGCCCAGCTTCGCTTAGGCTTTCGAAAACATTGAGAATTTGAATGCTTAATTAATTCGCCCGAAGGTCGGTCTACGACCTCAAGAGTTATGAAGAGGTTCCTCCGTGGACATTTTTTTTCGATTTATAGCTCATATAAGGTACCGGTCAGTCGAGGTCAGTTTTGACCCCCACATCGTAGACTTTTCGGCCAACCGGCCCCCGTGTTCTGTCGCACCAAGGCAAGATCATGCCAGATTTGAAGCGCCTGCGGCGCCGGGAAGTGCCCTATCGGACACCCGACAATCTAGATCTAGAGCTAGATTTCTAAAAGAATTTTTTTTTTAAGTTTAGCCCGAGCATAATAAAAAAGAATACATTAACCAAGCTGACTTGCTGTGTCTCGAACCCGCACCACCTGCGTGGTTTAATGTACACTAACATCTCCGCTATTTAGGCACCTTATAAAATACGGAGAATGAAACACGTATTTTAAAATCTTAACTTACGCGAATATGCCTATTCTTTCAAATTAATTTTTTATCCCAAATTAGCCAGTTCATAACAAAGATTTTGTATAAAATAAATAAGTCTTGAAATAGTTTAGTCCTAATATAGAAATTTATTTTTGGAATTGATTTTAGAGAAGTTAGAGTCTAAATCTAGATCTTAGCGTCTACGTCTAGATCTAGTTATTGCGTAGATTTAGATTTAGTCTAGATCTAGAATCTCTAGATCTAGAATCCAAATACATAAAATAAATTTTATGAGTTTAGGCCGGAAAAATTGTATTGTATACATTTCATAGTGTACGTAGATCTAAATCAAATTTGAATGAAATAGTTCATTTCTTTTCATTCTAAACACGGCAGATGACGTCATTAGTTAATGTATAAGCAATAGTGACGTCACAGTTTTATGCGTTCTTTTTCACATATATTAATGCTTTTCCGGTTGCATAAATAATACTGTTTCTCTATATTCGAATACGCCTTTATTTTTTATTTTTCTTCTTTAAATAATTTTGTGGTTATACATTTAAAACATCTAACATATTTTTTTCAACAAAAGTCCGTAAAAAGTTCTCGATATATCGCTGCCGATTCTGACGTGATGTCCGGCGAAAATTTTTTGCGGACAGAGAAAGAGAGAGAGAGAGAGAGAGATGTGCGAACGTGGGGATTTATATATTAGGATAGCCTTTCTTATCACACGCTGTTGGGTGTGGTGACCATTCTTAGTCTTACCCACTCAGGTTGTTCTTTACGTTACTGATTGGGGGGGGGGTGGACAATGGAGACGCTACTCCCTTGTGGTCCCATATATGTAGATGTGTTACTGGCCTCTTAACAGCAAAATTATGCTTAAAAATATTTTAAACATTTCATAGAAAAAGGCTTTAAATGTTTTAATTGATGTGCTTTCAGGTGAATCATCAAAATATGTATAGCTGATCGGAAAAATAAAAAGAAAAAATGGACAGCTCAAGAAGCCTGGAATTGTTTAGTACCAATGAAATATTCCGTGACATTAAGAAGTAATGAGACTTAGCAGGATGTGACTGCAGCAGTACACTAGATGGTTGCAGAAGTGGAAACTACATACACCAGTAAGTGCAGTTTTTAAACACACAGTCAGCTGATTCACTGAAACATACATTTGTACTTTTGTTGCAATAGCTGTTTTGCTTTACTACATGACAGAGGCGTAGCGACCCTTCCCGGCGCCCGGGGACAAAGTTTCAATTTGGCGCCCCCCATCGGGAGCAAATTTTCAATTTGCACCCCCCTCAAACTAGTTATAATGCAAAAGTGCAGCTAAAATGACATTTTAATTTGTTTTTACAACCCATTTTGGCGCCCCCTAAGGTCGGCGCCCGGGGACATATGTACACCCCTGCCCCCCCCCCCCCCCCATCGCTACGCCTCTGCTACATGAGCTATGGATATAATGAGCTTTCACTATACTTCAAGCTATGGATATAAATGAGCTTTCACTATACTTGATTCACAGTTGTAAAGCCCAACTACCATGACTGTCCTACAGGAGACTTGCAAGGATCTCATCCACTGGCTAAAGCAGCTGATGTTGTTCAGAGGGTTGTCATAAAGATGTTTGGTGCAAACAGGAAGGAAGGAGTAGGCACATTTAGTTTGGTCCTTCTCTTGTTGCCATAGGAAACGGCCATCATTGTCTTGTGTCCCAGTTATGTCATTTATAGATAGTCTTGTCTGTCATAAGTCTAAGTCAGCTGTGTAAAACTTCTGTTTTGCCCTAAGTTGTCAAACAGAATAAACAAATGAAATTGTTTAAAGACTTTGTTGTCAATCTTTCTGTTGCAAAGTGTTGTGTTTGAATACTAGAAGGTCAATGTACCAAAAGGTCAGCAGCTCATTGTCAGCAGCTCATTGATAATGGTAGTATAAATAATCATATAAATATGATTGGGTCATAACTATCCATTTGAAGGACAAAGGTGTAAAACCATGTCTCTAAACCTGAAAGATTCAAAGCCCAATGGGATAAAAAGGTCTAGGATTGTATGGAAAAAATGTATACAACCTGAAAGAAGTTAAGTTTTGGTACAGGAAATTTAAATATTTGTTTTTAGTAATCAGATGCAATGAGTAGTTTTTTCTTTTTTTAAATTCTGAAGTTTTAGGTTATGTTACTCTTACATTCTTGATTTAACTGTATGAAATCATTGCACTATTTTGACTACTACAGCTTGTTTAGAATTATTTTGTTGTGAAAAATTAAATAAGCATTTAGTCAATTTTAAGTTTTTTGTACTTGTAGACTTATCAGGTTAGCATTTATCTGAAATTTCTTCCTTGTGTTCCTACCATGTTCACACAACAAATAAAACAGCTGCTCCAATTTCACAAATTCTTTCTTCTTCTTTGTTCTTATTAGTAGTGTTAGATGGGATCTTCTACACAAGTATTACTTGTCAACATGTTTAGCAACATCAGGCCAGTTGACCCCAAGTTTAGCCTGCATTTCTTTTTGGATTCTCTTCCATAGCCTTTGTCCATCAAAGAACAAACTACAAGGCAGCAGTTGTTAAATTTAGAATTTTTCTCCTAGATGGGATGCTGCCCCTAGCTAATAATTAAGCCTCATCTGCTTAGGGTTTGAACTTGGGACTGTGCAGTTTAACACCAGCCTGACAATGCCACCCCCAAAAATAATTTCAACAATCTTGATTAGCAGTTCTAAAATTTCACGTTTAGTTTCCATATTTTTGAACAGACACTAACCCTATGTTTAGTGTCTTTATGTTATTTACAATAATTAAAATCACTAGGATAAATTATATCCATTTTCTGCTAACCCGAAAATATTAACTTCAAATCTGGCAAGTCAGTTGAAGGTCCTGAGTCCACCCAGCTCTAATGGGTACCTATCTCATGTTAGGGAAAGTAAAGGGAGCTGGGCAAAGTGCTGACCACACCTTCCCTTCTTCATATGCCAAGGTCAAGAAAAATATAAACTCTTCTTTATCTGCTTAATGAATCTCTAGGTGTAAAGAGGATTCGTTAACTTATGTTCTGACTAGATGATTATTAGTAATATTAGTACAGGTTATTAATAACAGTCTGTCAAAAAAGAAGTGGTTTGGCCTGAATGGTTTCAAACTAGCTGTGTAAGGCACTATTCCTAGACAGATGGTCTATGGTACATTTCTTTATAAAATATAGTATCAAGACCCCTAGATAAAATTGACAAGGCAATCCTACACTCAATGACTAAACAATTTATCTTAAAAAACTGATTTGAAAAAAAAGAAGCATGGAGCTATATAGCTTCCCTTTGAAGTTAATCAATTCACCAAGGTTAAGTAACTCAACCATGCATTAACCATGCATATAAAATTGTATGAAGTATACTATGATAAATTATATTAAAATTTAACAACTTATTATTATAAAAGGTTCATATTTAATTTTTTTTTTATATATTAGCCTTAAAACTCATGAACAGAAATAAAACAAAATATATCAGATTTTATTTTATTCCCTTATCAAAGAATCATAGCATAAATAAAAAAACTAACCAATTTTGTGATTTACAAACATTAATAAATAATAATTAAATATTCCATATAAAAAGACATAGCAGTATTGTTAAAATACAGATCAAAAGTTATTATCTCTATTAAACTTATGATAATATTTTAATAAAATGAATGACAAAAAAAAATGAAAGTGAAAATTAATAAAATTGACAAACTGGTCAAAAAGACTTAAAAACAAAATTACAACATTATATTGGGTCTTAATCTGATGGTGTTTAGTAACAAAATGACAAACAAATCTTATCTAGAGAATTGCCATCAGCAAAACAGTATAAGCTTGTATTATGGGGACATGCATATAGCCAGTTCCCAGACTGAGTAACAGTAGGTACTCTGTTTTTATTACATGTATAAATGTGTATGTATAGCACTTGTCCCAGGATAAGATCCAGGGATTATAATGTATTGTGAAAACCAGTCTGTTGTGCTGGGTGATCTTGTGACACAGCAGTACTGCTGATGTGGCTACAAGTGGGACCATCAAAGGACAAGTGGGACTATCAAAGGACAAGTGGGACCATCAAAGTACAAGTGGGATCATCAAATTCCAAGAGGGATCATCAAATTCCAAGTGGGATCATCAAATTCCAAGGGGGATCATCAAATTCCAAGTGGGATCATCAAATTCCAAGTGGGATCATCAAAGTACAAGTAGGGTCATCAAAGTACAAGTGGGGTCATCAAAGTACAAGTGGGGTCATCAAAGTACAAGTGGGGTCATCAAAGTACAAGTGGGATCATCAAATTACAAGTAGGATCATCAAAGTTACATTGTAGTAATGAGGTTGTCCTTTCAGGTTCATATCATGTGACCACATCAGTTGGGCTTATCTATAATTGTCTGAGTTACCTGTTTCTACAACAACTGTTACACTTGTATTTACATTTGGGTTCCATCCTCTGTTTATTCATAACAGCGCTGCCTTTACTTCCTGAATATGTGGGTCTAGTTTTATATCAACATCAAATTCATCAACTCCTCTGTCTTCTACATGCCATAAGACATTCATATATAATATCATTGTACAATTTATTTGGGGAAAATCTAGAAAAAGAAATTAAAAGACATTTAACATCAAACAATGGGGAATAAGTAGAGATGAACTGCAATTTTAAACTTTATTATTGTTCGAGAAGACTTAAACAATATAAAAACTACATTTGTTTACCATAAAATATCAATTGATTTTATCAAAATAAATCTGACGCCTAGAAATTGGTTGTTAAAAAATGGTTTGCTATTATTTATTATTTAACTGGCTATGATGCTGAAACCATTCATTTGTAATGCTGTGACTACTTATAATCAGTGAGCTAATTAACTGTGTAAAATAATCTACCACAGTTCATCCCATCAAAAAGGTGGACAAAATAGGCATTACCCAACATAATGAAACAAAAATATTGTAGTTTGAAAATGTATGACAAACACTAAGCAATCATCTTTATAAGCTATAACATGATCAGTAAGGTACAATTTGTAAAATAAAACAATACAAAACATTTTGTTAAAATGACATTGAAATTTTACAAATAGAAAAAAAAATAAAGCTTGGTCTTTTTGGCGGACCAAGAGACGGTTTTAAAATGTAGAGCAAACAACACCCTAATAGCAGTGGATATTTAAAGTAACGCCAAATAGATTTACGAAAGTAGGCTACTACTTTTACATAACTTACGCTTCTAAATTGTGAAAAGTGCTCCATAAAAATGGACAAACACTCTAACGGTTGTGTATTGAAGCCCTGACGTAAGCCCTGATGTGGCTCCTGCAGACTGGACAGTCGTGGAAGGCCACAGCACACTCCTGACATGACACCAGATGGCCACATGGCAGAAACACAATTTTCACTTCCTTGTCCATGCATATCTTGCAGATCAGATTGTTGCGTAGTGTGCTGTTCTGTTCCTTCAGGTCCTGGATTATCTCTAGAAGAAGATTAATTGGACTAAATGAGTTGAACATCTTTAAGAACTCAGCAAGATAATCAAAGCATGATTAGTGAGATATCTATCTTTGGTGTGGTATAAATTAATATGATACAGTCTTTAATGTGAAAGGAAATGTATTTACTATTTATCATTGCAGCTGTTTTGGTATATATTTCAGTTCTAAATATATATTCTTGATACAAATGACTTAAAAACTATTTGACTAGTTTTTATAGTTAAAAAAGATTACAAACATCAATCACTTTATAATAGAAAGGAAATGTTTACAACATTCCACACAGATGATGAGGTAAATAACAGACAATTGAATATTACAGTGCCATCAATAGTATATTTTTAATCAATGAGAGAGTTTACATAAAATCAAGGTTTTTCTCTAGATTTATGACTTCAAAAAGTTTATTTTTCTATTAAAAAAAAAGAATGAAATATTCTTCAAAAGAATAATTGAATAATTTGGAAAGAAAATCGCCTATGTAAAAATTCTACATGATTAGTTTTGTTAGGTAAACTTTTACAACAGAAAATCTGTAAACTATCATGTAGTGGTGTAATTGGTTTTTCCAACTGCCTGTTAATAACAGAAAAATACCTGATTATAGTGTTGTTCAGCACTATAACAGACTAAAGCTAAAACTCACTCAAATCTTCCTTGCTGTCAACCAATACTGGCATGGCTGCTGTGGCACCTTCAGCTCTGCTGCCCTCCAACAGTTTCTCTAGAATAACATCAGACCTTAAGGTTCCACCTGAAATGATGTATAGAATAAAGCTTGGTTTAATTTAAGAATAACATCAGACCTTAAGGTTCCACCTGAAATGATGTATAGAATAAAGCTTCGTTTAATTTAAGAATAACATCAGACCTTAAGGTTCCACCTGAAATGATGTATAGAATAAAGCTTGGTTTAATTTAAGAATAACATCAGACCTTAAGGTTCCACCTGAAATGATTTAAAGAATAAAGCTTCGTTTAATTTTAAAATAACATCAGACCTTAAGGTTCCACCTGAAATGATGTATAGAATAAAGCATGGTCAAATTTTACAATATTAGACCTTAAGGTTCCACCTGAAATGATGTATAGAATAAAGCATGGTCAAATTTTACAATATTAGACCTTAAGGTTCCACCTGAAATGATGTATAAGGTTCCAACTGGAATAGTTCATAGAATAAAGTATGGTCAACTTTTTGGGAATAACATAAGACCTCAAGGTCTATTAAATTAACTTCAGACCCCCCCCCCCCCACACACACAATAATTTATAGAAGAATACAGCATGGTCCAATTTTAGAAAACATCAGGCCTCAATGTCCCCCCTGAAATAATGGAGTAGAGTAATGCCAAATTTTTGACTGAAAAATCTAGCCTATTTTAATTCTTACTTTTGGAAAGAAATTTAAAATATTTAAGACCAGTTAATATTGGTCATTTAATATTGGTTATTTAATATTGGTCATTTAATATTGGTCATATAATATTGGTCATTTAATATTGGTCATTTAATGTTGGTCATTTAATATTGGTCATATAATATTGGTCATTTAATATTGGTCATATAATATTGGTCATTTAATATTGGTCATTTAATATTGGTAATTTAATATTGGTCATTTAATATTGGTAATTTAATATTGGTTATTTAATATTGGTCATTTAATACTGGTCATATAATATTGGTCATTTAATATTGGTCATTTAATATTGGTCATTTAATATTGGTCATTTGACAGGTAAACACTAGAAAAAAGTCAACTGTATAGTATAACAACTACATTAGCAGATTAAATAAGGTGGAATGGTCAAATACTGAACAGTTTCATCACCCACCTGATTCTCTAATGCTTCTAGCAGCACTGTAGACATCCTCTGCCCCGTATCCTTCTTCTATAAGAGACATGACAGCGGCATCATATTCCACTGGGGTGTCATCAAACTCTAATACAATGTACATAGTGTAGAAGAGTTTTTAAATATTTTAATTGTGTACAGTTATTTTGATTGCATATGTTCAGTAGAAATAGCTACAAATTAGTGATTGCAGAACCTGTTACTAGCAATATTAGTATGTAGCTGTGGTTCCCCAATTATCTACTGCTGTGCTCACAGAAAGCTAAAAAACCTTTATGTTTAACTGATACTACACAAGCAGTATAAAATTGTATACCAGCACTTCATAACATTATGTTTACATATACAAAATTGAAAAAAATACACAGGTACTGTTTAAGTTAAAGATGTTTCAAAATTAATTATGTTTAATTTTTAACTGTGTATTAAAAAAAAATGAAAACAGTTAAATAGCCCAAAGCAATAATGTTAATTATTAATATTAATTATTAATAATGTTACTAGTTACAAAGGGCAAAATATATTCAATTAAACAAACCAATCTGGTTGCCAATGTAATTCTTATAAATTGGATTTTAAGTTTTTAATGACGACATTATTTTAAAAAATCATAATGAAATGTAATGAAAAAGTAGACTGGTGTTATGAATGCTAAAAAAGTATTTATTTTTTTTGGAAGATTAAACCTGACATGTAGCAAAGTTTGTGACAGTTTATATTTAATTTGCATAAAAAGCTGCATTAAGAGACATCAAGAAGCTACTCACGGTTCAGAATGACGGCTCCACTACGCTCCATGTACTGTCTGACTTCTTCAAAGGTGATTATCTTCTGTGAAAAAAAAAAAAAAATGTCTAATGTATTTTAGTCATACATTTTATTTTATTACTATACAAACCATATCAAAATGTGTGTTGTTGAAACAGAAAAAAAAATTGAATCAAACTATCAAATTTTTAAATAAAAGAAGGTTAAGTGAATCTATAACTAGCAAGCACTCTAGGAGCCACACAGGAGTTTCAATCATAATGTCGTAAATTCCAGGAAATTAAATTATCAGGAGCAAAAGTTGAGCAAAATTGATATTTTGACACTGGTATCAATTTGATTTCTTAAATGATTATTTGGTGGCACAAAATCAAATCAAGGTGCCTATTTCTCACAAACTGGGGGTAGCCTTGGCCAACTCAAACATCAATTTGAAAATAAAACACTAATTCATACAAATATGTAGGCTACATGATAATACATTACATTTTCACTATTCACACAGATTTTGAAGATATTTTACAAGCCACCACTAAGCTGAGTAACTTTTATTTTTCGTTATCTATTCCAGTTCAAGCCAAAGACACATGAAACAGATGAAGTAGAGTCAATCTATTTCAATGACCTTGGCATAATGGAGATAGTGTGGTCAGCACCATGCCCAGTCGCCTTAGTCAGGTGCCCATTACAGCAGGGTGCACTTAGGACTCAAACCCAGGATTCAGACTCAAGACTTTCGGGTTAGCAGTTTTGAGCTCTACCAACCAACCACACCGTTCCGCCAACTTGTGTTTTGACTAACCTTGTTCTTGTCAGTGTTCTTGATCTCAAACCCAGGATTCAAACTCAAGACTTTCGGGTTAGCAGTTTTGAGCTCTACCAACCAACCACACCGTTCCGCCAACTTGTGTTTTGACTAACCTTGTTCTTGTCAGTGTTCTTGATCTCAAACCCAGGATTCAGACTCAAGACTTTTGGGTTAGCAGTTTTGAGCTCTACCAACCAACCACACCGTTCCGCCAACTTGTGTTTTGACTAACCTTGTTCTTGTCAGTGTTCTTGATCTCAAACCCAGGATTCAGACTCAAGACTTTCGTGTTAGCAGTTTTGAACTCTACCAACCAACCACAACATTCCCCTAACTAGTGTTTTGACTAGCCTTGTTCTTGTCAGCGTTCTTGATGTCCTGTACAGCATCAACAAAAGCCTGACCCTTCCCCAACCACCCCGTTCCCCTAACTTGTGTTTTGACTCACCTTGTTCTTGTCAGCATTCTTGATCTCAAACCCAGGATTCAAACTCAAGACTTTCGGGTTAGCAGTTTTGAGCTCTACCAACCAACCACACCGTTCCCCCAACTTGTGTTTCTACTGACCTTGTTCTTGTCAGCGGTCTTGATCTCCTGTACTGCGTCAACAAAAGCCTGCCCCTTGTACTGCCTGATGTAGCTACACTTTGGGTACCACCTGGCATGTTCAACAAAGGGATCATCCCCTAGGGTCCAGTTCCTGAGGGCACCCCCACAGAAAAAACATTTCCCACAATCACTGTAGCCTGTTAAGAGAGTTTATAACACATGAACGAATACCGACTTCAGTTATTGTGAGAAATTTTTAAACAGCACAACATAGAAAAATGAAACTCCTCATTAATAACACAAATACATGTATCAAATTACAGCACTGTACATTTCAAAATAGATTAAAAGCTATATTGTAAAATATTCTGAAAATTTTATAATTCATTATTTTTATTTATTTTAAAATCATTTTAGTGAAGCATCAGACTTATTTTATCTAAACCCATATGCTATAGCCTATATGTATTGATCACTACCAATATTTTGAAACCTGAATTTATAGCACCACTTTTAAAACCCAAAACTAGTTTTTATTTTTAAGCTATTCTGGCTTATAAACTGAGACAATACTTTATTAGATGATGATATGACAATGGAAATTAATATAATTATATAACTGATTGGGCAAATGGGAAAAAGTAAATGTTAAAACAGTTTGGGTTTGTGAAAATTATCTATTTTAAATTTTTCTTTAGGGTATTCTAGTATGTATAATTTACTGGTGTCTTCAAGAAATTGTTAAAATTGTAACGAACATCAGGCCAATTAGTTAAAATTGTAACGAACATCAGGCCAATCGGTTAAAATTGTAACGAACATCAGGCTAATCAGTTAAAATTTTGTAACGAACATCAGGCTAATTAGTTAAAATTGTAACGAACATCAGGCCAATCAGTTAAAATCGTAACGAACTATGTTAAATTTTTCTTTAGGGTATTCTAGTATGTATAATTTACTGGTGTCTTCAAGAAATTGTTAAAATTGTAACGAACATCAGGCCAATTAGTTAAAATTGTAACGAACATCAGGCTAATCAGTTAAAATTGTAACGAACATCAGGCTAATCAGTTTAAATTTTGTAACGAACATCAGGCTAATTAGTTAAAATTGTAACGAACATCAGGCTAATTAGTTAAAATTGTAACGAACATCAGGCTAATTAGTTAAAATTGTAACGAACATCAGACTAATCAGTTAAAATTGTAACGAACATCAGGCTAATCAGTTAGAATTGTAACGAACATCAGGCTAATCAGTTAAAATTGTAACGAACATCAGGCCAATCAGCTAAAATTGTAACGAACATCAGGCTAATTAGTTAAAATTGTAACGAAGATCAGGCTAATTAGTTAAAATTGTAACGAACATCAGGCCAATCAGCTAAAATTGACAACTATCTGAGAGTTGTACTTACCCAAAAAGTGGAGTCCAGATCTGGCCACATCCAAACTGGATACAGGACAGTCAGCTGGCCATCCATCAAAAGACTCAATCCGCTTGCTCAGGATAGCATACTCCGGATTTTTTGGTTTCTCGTGGAAGATGCCGAGATCCTGTAGGTTAAGGTCACGACCTGCGGCTGCGTTACCGCTGGCTGCTGCCCTGTTTTGGTTACCAGCGGAGGGTTGGGGAGGGACGGATAATGGGACGCGCGGGATGGAGTAGATTGAAGAGTTTATGTTCGGATGAAGCGGCTGCGCAGCATCAGCTGGCCCAGTTGCACCTTGACCCAGACTGTCGGCCCTGCTGTTATTTTCAGTGATCATGTCCACAACGTCCATGTCGGCAGCGCTAGCCCCTATTGAAGATGCAGGCGCGGCGCCGTAGCTGGGTTGATTTCCATTTTGTCCCAAGTTATTGAACATCGCTGCTGTATCTGATATTTCTCTACTTAAAGAAGACGAGGCTGTGTTGTTGGTTTCCATGACAACCACAATAGGGCAGTTGGGGCTGTTGAGCTTGTGGACTTCCTCCACATTTTCCACAGGTTCCCATTTCTCCTTCACCAGGGAACAGAAGAAGCAGATGACCTTCTGACTCTTCCCCTCCCCGATGTACACAAACCCCAGGCTAGCTAGGATGGACGCGGAGATGGGACTGTCCACAGGGTAGTCAGCAAATGATGCCACTCTCATGGTCTCCCTTTCAAACTCTTTCCAAGGTATTCCCCTCACCTCTTTAGGGTGGTCTGCCCTCCCAGAGGGAGACCGAAGCATGTAAACACTTGTCTCTCTTAAATGTAAGCCAAGAACTTGCTTTATTCCAATAGTTGAGATGAGTTTTCCAACTATTTCCAAATTTTCATTCCCATTTACCTGATCTACATTTAGATCATGGGAAGAAGCTTTTATAGATAGAGTAACAGATTCAGCCTTATAATCATCTTGGTGTTTACTCTTGTTGCTATTCAGATGCCTGGTTAAAGCACCAAAACTTTTTTCTGATCCTTGAGAGCCACAGGTTTCATTGCAAAAATCTTGAAAACTTTCATTTTCACATTTAAGTGATTTATGCTTCAAATCAAAAGTATGAAAAAATTTCTCATCGCTGGGAGTTGTAATTGAAGAAGAAGTAAAAAGTGGCAGTAAACATTTTCGAGAAAGAAAGGTAGAAAGTATTCTTTGAGATAGCAAAAGATGACAAGAAGTCAAAGGCTTTTCGGATTGTAACAAGCAAATTAACTTGTCACTTCCCAGTATGTACACACAAGCTGTACTAGATCCTGGATATTTACTTGTGTAGACATTCCTGGTGTACCAACCCTCCTTCTCATGTTTGTGTGGCCATTGGCCTAAGGAGACATGTTCAACACACCCATGAGGATGTAACACTACAACAATCAATGTATCTGTGAGAGAATGTCTCCAGCATTTGTTTTCTTCTGCCCAATACATCTTCTCTAGTAGCTCTAATAACTCTACCATACAGCTAACAGAAGTAACCACTTGACTGTCATCAAAACCTAAAGTTGGCCTACACCAAGCATGTCTCATCTTGCTGACATCACACACCACAGGACGATACAAAGGTAAATGAAAGTTCACCCCACTATAATTTCCTTCAGAGTTTGATCCACTGTGTACATGATGACAACACCGTGGGTTACAGCCTACTCTGTACACATAAGCCCCAGCACTTCCAGGACATGTACATGTTGTGTACCAGTACCTGGTGTACGTGGTGTACAAGTCATCCCTCTCACATTTGTGTGTCCATTGTCCTACAGAGACCTGTTTAGAACAGCCGTGAGGATGTGACACTATAACGGTCAACTTGTCCACATCAACAAATCTTCTGTATTTGTCCCATCCTTCCCTACATAGATCATCAAAGTCCCGACACAACTTGTCCAGTTCATCAACCAACTCTAAGTCACGTGTCAAATAACTCAACTGACCCAAGTCCCCCTCAATGTGTGCCCTCTTCACCTCCCAGCCATCAAGACTGACCCCTGGACTTTTATTGTCATCAAAACCTAAAACACAACTGGTCTGTCTCGCCTCACTGTCATCAAACACCACATGTGTGGCTGTCACCACATGAACCTGCCCCCACACTATTCTGGGTGAGGCAGAGACTTGACACTTGGCACAATGACAAGTTCTGTCACTCTCTGTGTACTTGGTCACACCCCACACCCTCCCTGTCCCTAACCTAATCCCATGACTGCCTCTGCGAATATAATTTGGATGTTGAACTTGAGTGCCTGGGTAAAACTCTGGTCTCTCTAGACTGGTGAATTTACTCTGCACCTGGACAGTTAGGGCTGCCAATGTTTTGATTGTCTCAGACATGAGCTCGTCGTCATGGTAACGTGAGGGGAGATAACTTGCGTTGAAATCTTTAAGTGGTATAAAACCTTTGTGACCTGCATTCTTCTTACAGCCAGTAACATGTTTGTGTAGATCAGCTTCTCCTCTATAGCACATTTCAGCTTCATGATTTCCTACAGGAGATAAATTTTTAAGTCTAAAGTTATGAAGCTTAAATAACTAACATTAAAAAAATCTTTAACATGCGATGTCTCTTGGGCCTACTAGTAGGCTGCATACACTATTAGATTATAAACATATATTTTTAATGTGGAAACATGTCTGAGATTATGGAATTTGTAACTTGTTTTGAATCTAATTAAGTTATGAGGTAAATAAAAAAAAAATGATAGCATATTCTACATAAACAGGCTAGATATTATTCAAATAGTGTTACCTTCAACAGCTGGCTTAATTTTCTCTGTTGCACTACGATTTCCCATGGCTTGAGCTGCTGTTAATATATAATTTTCAATTATGAACAATTGAAGGCTTGAAACATGCTACCTACTTTACAAAAGATATGTACTTTTAATTAAATAACATTAACAAATATTAAGTAAATTTATCCAAGATTCATATCAACTTCACCGTAACGATGAATAACCAGCACGAGTTGTTAATACAATTTTAGTAAAGGTATTCAACTATTTAATGCATAATTTAGAGATGATTGTTTAGGATAAAGCTCCGACCATTAGGTTATCCACTCTCAAGAATGGTATACATTGATTGGATATTTAGATGGATATCACCCTGTTTAAATTACTTGATAAGCATGAAAGAGAAATGCAACCAACGCAAAGAAGGTGATATAGCTGAAGCAATATTTTAACACAGTTTAATAGTTTTAACCAAAAAATAATGTGTTTTATTTTTAAAGTTAATGAAATATACGCATAAATGAAAAACAAGCAAATTATTCAAACACAGTATGAAAGTCGACGCATTATCCAACAGTTATATACCGATTGAATTTAATGGTTTTTCTGTAGGTCTTATTGTGGAGTGATCTGTCACTTGTGTTTTGACTTGTATAATGTATATAATGAATAATGATGGATGGTCTAGCAAACATATTAAATAATAAAATATCTGCACATTTACATATAAATTTATTAATTTTAATGTTTACATTACATTAAGGTCTAGATCTATGTAAACATAAAATTAAAAGTATTGGGATTTACTGTGCAGATGAACCAAGAAAATATAATTCTAATATATAGATCTAGATGACAACAGAAGGGGTGTAAAATAATATAAAGATACATCTGTTTCAAAACACACTTTAAAATTTGTGAACTCACTAGGTGATAGACCTAGATCTAGCATAGTATAAAATATTAAAATATAGATCTATATTTAATAAAGATATTGACAAATTTGGGATGGCATGGTTGAGTGGTAGTGCAAATGCCTGCCAATCCAAAAGTCTGTAGGCTCGAGTCTGTAGGATGCCTCTGAGTCCACCTAACTCTGTTATCTGATGCACATTAGAGAAATGGAGGTGGTAGGGTCTAGAGATGATCACACTATCCCCTCGTATGCCGATATCATTGATACAGAATACAGATGAACTCTACTTTATTTGCCCCATGTGTCTCAGACATGAATGGGGAAAAAATAATGATGATAGTGTCCCAAAAAGTGGGCCTATGTTAACAATTAACAGTAATACGACATGGATGATTGTGTGCTGACCTATGTTCTATGCAGAGTTTCTTCCAATTTATATAATTTATATAGAAAATATATACTTTTAACAGTGTCCGCCCCCCCCCCCCCCCCCCGGAGAAAAAAGTCTGGAAGAAACACTGGCTCTTTGCCCTAGCTAGGCTATGTCATAAGCTAGAGGCCTATAACATCTGCATTACAATGATTACATTAGTAGTGATAATTAAATAATTATTAGAATTAATCATTAGAATTAGATTTATAACACTATATAGGGTAAAGCAGGCCACTAATAGCCATGCAGTATTAAGACCTGATCAGCACCCCACCCCCACAACCCCTCCCCCAACAAAACTACTAATCTACTTCTGAGGTAACAGCCACTGCTGTTCTTTGATAACAGAGAAGCAGAGGATTCATTTTAAGTAATTTATGACACACTTGGCCCAGTATGGAGAAGATGAATACGTATTAATCCCATTGCTCTTTCTTCAAAATTTCTCACCTCCATAAAACCATTTTGTGAACTTTTTCCCAAGTAGACATAACTTAGGAAACTTCACATGACTTTTTCAATGCCATTCTTTTTTCAAGTGTTCAATCATTGGTTGCTATATATTTTAAAACCATTTTTATATAGAATAGTTTTATTTTGGTGAATTTTTTTTTGCACAGTGATTGTTGGTGCCAAAACAAAATGGCTGACATTTGTCAGGTTTTACCATGCTATAAAGTTTTTATAATTCTCAGAGTAAAACGAGCGATCACTATCATAATGTTTTTATTTGTTAGATAATAACTAAATCTAGCATTTTCAGACAAGTTATAACATGTATTTTTATGCGGTTCTTGTTGCCTCTGGTGCAAGTATCACCCTGTTTAAATTACTTGGTAAGCATGAAAGAGAAATGCAACCAACGCAAAGAAGGTGATATAGCTGAAGCAGTATTTTAACACAGTTTAATAGTTTTAACAAAGACTGCGGATGACTTGGCTTTACACTCACATGCCCAAAAAGACATCCAAACAAAAACCACAAAAATGGAGCAAATTGCTAAAAGCGTTGGGCTAAAGATAAACTCCGGGAAAACCAAGCTAATGAAAGTAAAAACCAAAAGTGCTCTCAAGACCTTTGCGAATGGAGTAGAGCTAGAAGAGGTTGAAGACTTTAAGTACCTCGGCAGCTATATATCAGCAAATGGCAGCATGGAGAAAGAAATAGCCACCAGAATAGCAATGGCAGCACAAGCTTTCAACAGACTTGATAAGGTCTGGAAATCATCCTCACTGCAGCAGAGAACTAAAATAAGGATCTACAAGTCAAATGTACGTTCTGTATTCCTCTATGCTGCAGAGTCATGGAAACTAAACAAGAAAGGAGAGAGCCGACTCAGGCTTTGAAAGAAGATCCCTCCAACGTATCCGAAGGATAAAGTGGGACGACAAACACCTGAACAAGGAAATATGGCGAAGGACAGGATTAAACTACATTGTTTCAGAAGTTCGAATGAGGAGATGGAGATGGCTGGGTCATGTCCTACGCACGAGAAAAAGAAGACTCCCCAACATGGCGCCGAAGTAATTCTAACAATTAATGTTTTAAATTAAATTTTAAAGTAAGTTTTTTTAATAAGATTATAAATTATAGGCCTAGTATAGATAGAGATTCAGGGAAAACAACTCTAATTTACAGATGTTTATATAGACTAGATTATATATTAACTATATATAGTATAAAGTATATACTAATCTATATATATTATATATAGTACATACTATACTATAGCAAATCTTGCTCACAAACACTGCTGTTAAAAATTGAATCCTTAAAAGTAAAAGTTAATTGCTGGCCTTGTAGGATTATTGATATATTTATTATTACGAAGTGACTATTCAGAAAAAGATTTTTCGCCCCAGTGTCTCCACTTGGTCGGCAAAAGATAGTTCTGCGCATGCCCAGTGACCTTAACAGCTGAGGTGGGTTATGACTAGGGTTAGTGTTCTGTGGCTGTAAACACACGCAGGTGCAATACCATCGAATACATCGCCGCAGAGGCGTAGCCACCCTTCCTGGTACCCGGGGACAAACTTTTTGATTTGCACCCCCCTCCCTCAAGATTTCGATTTGCACCCCCCCTCAAACTTTCAATTTGCACCCCCCCTCAACCTTTCAATTTATTTTTCCAACCCATTTTGGCGCCCCCTAAGGTCGGCGCTCGGACACATATGTCCCCCCGCCCCCCCCCCCCCCCCCCCGCTACGCTACTGCATCGCAGCGAAGGCAAGTCTTAGTTTCTCTCCATTGCGCATGCGTATCTTTTTTCCGTCTAGAATCGGCAGCCTTATTATTTATATTTAGCCACTGATTTTGGTTTATTATTCAGTTATCTATATCAGTAGGCCTATAATATAATATATAGGGCCTATTAGTAATAGGCTATTACTATTAGAGGCTAATAGTATTGGCCGATTCTAGCCGGAATAAGATACGTATGCGATTCGCATGCGCAATGCAGAGAAACTACGACTTGCCTTAGCGGCGATGTTTTCGATGGTACTGCGCATGCGTGTGTTTACAACCGCAGAACCCTAATACCAACCCTAATCCTATCCTTAACCCTATCCCTAATCCTATCCCTAACCCTAATCCTATCCCTATCCCTAATCCTATCCCTAATCCTACCCCTAACCCTCATTCTAGCCCTAACCCTAGCAATAGGTCACTGCGCATGCGCAGAGCTATCTTTTGCCGACTAAGTGGAGACGTAGGGGAGAAAAATCTTCTTCCGAGTAGACACTTCGAATAGTATTAGCCTAATAGTATATATAATAGGCCATATATATATATACTATATGCCTATATTATTAATTATATATAATATAATTTTAAAGGCCCTAATATAATATTTGACACAATATCAATATTATATTTATAGTGTAAGTGTACGTGAATATTAATAAATTAATATTATACTAGATTTCTAGATTCTAGATCCAGACTAGATTCTAGGCCTAATTAAATTAGTAATAATAGTATTACTTCTATTAAAGTAATTAAAGTTTAAAGCCCTATAATATAATTTAATATATGATTATATAATAGATCTATTTCTAGATACTCTATATATAATATATAGGCCTATAGATCTAGAATCTAGTCTAGATCTAGATCTAGATCTAGTGAGATTCTAGATTCTAGTAGAGTGTAGAGTGTAGAGGTAGAATCTAGCCTCGGCCGATTTTACTATTTTTACGCACCTACTAAAACTAAAACGATAGATTAGCAAATAAATACTTTAAATAAATAGTCTAGACTAGATTCTAGATCTATAGATCTAGTATTCTATAGCCTATTTCGTGATAACATGATTGAAATGTGTGGATGTACGATTATACCTAGATCTAGATGATTTCTGTTTTAAAAAATCAAGATCTATTGTTGATT